CTCTCTCCTAAAACTAATTAAGTTGTTGTTTGATTTTATACTATTTTTCCTGTGCATTGGTTTAAATGATTTTCCTGCCATCACATAGGTACTCTGTGGCAGCGGCATGGATAGAATCCAGCTCTCCAGGGCATCAACCAACTGCCTTGGTCTTGAGACCCACCCTTTCTTTTCCTGCAATCCCCTGCCTCATTCACTACACACCTTCCAAATTTTGCAAGAAATGAGACCGGGGTCCTACCAACAACAGCCTCACTCACTACACGACCCTGATCCAGTTCCATCCAGTGCACTGAATGAGGCGGGGTCCTGTGGAATAATAGTATTGGGCCTGTGTCTAATGTATCATAATGCATATGCACAAGAGGGCCGAATTAAGGTTGCACAGGCAATTTTCTGCTTCCACAAACTGAGTAATGATGGCCATGTTAAGACACTACACTGGGACGTTGACAATCTGAGTTCTATTCTTGTGTGACCCTCAGAAATCACTTAATTTCTCTGTGCCTCATTCCTCACCCAAAAAAAAATATTAAAAATAATAATGCTTCCTTTTTTTTAGCATTTGACTGTCTCATGTGTTTAGATTGTAAGCACGTTGACGGAGAGATTGTCTCTGATGGTGTCACGGATAGCACACTAGACTAGAGTGCAGGAGGTCTGGGTTCAATTCACATTGACATTGGATAAGTCACTTTCCTCCCTGTGCCTCAGGGATACTGCCCTCCTTTGTAAAGCATTTTGAGATCTACTGATGAAAAGGCATAGGTATTACTATTACCATGTTTTTGTACAGCACCCAGGACAATAGGGCCCCAATCTTGGCTGTGACCTCTAGGGATTATTGGAATCCAAATCATAACAATACTCTCTGTCCTTTACAATTGCTGGAATTTACTAAGCAAACTGTTAGCAGTGGTTAAAAAAGTTTTTCTCCTAAAAGCAGCAGCAAGCTTCCCTAAGAATGTCAGAACACCGCTGAGATGGCGGGAAATTGAAGACTTCAAATTATCTATTTATGGGCATTCTGTCTGAGCAGGTATTCATGTCAAAAAAGGGCCAGGGGAAATTTTCTTTAGACGGAAGGAAAAAAATTTCTGTTCACTTGGTATCATAGAATCATAGAAAATCAAGATTGGAAGGGACCTCAGGAGGTCATCTAGTCCAAACCCCTGCTCAAAGCAGGACCAATCCCCAACTAAATCATCCCAGCCAGGGCTTTGTCAAGCCTGACCTTAAAAACTTCAAGGGAAGGAGATTCCACCACCTCCCTAGGTAACGCATTCCAGTGCTTCATCACCCTCCTAGTGAAAAAGGTACAGAAGAGAAGAAAGTAAAGAAAATACATTGTTCTTTCCTTTCAGGACAATACAATGAATTTTATACTGAGCATCTATAAAGATAAACACCTGCTTACCAACCAAGCAATATAATTGTAAGTTACATTGGTTCATACCAGTATCTTTCTGTGCTGATGCCTGTCAATATCACTCTAGTTAATGGGGCTGTCATAACTGCATTTCCATCAAATGCTACCTCCCCATTGTAGGAGTCAACCATTTCTGTTCTACTCTGATTTGACACTTTACATATTTGTGTGCAATAAAATATTTTAGAAATGTCTTATGTAGCTCCAGATTATTTAACTAGAGAATGGGCAAAAGAGTTTTATCACATACTCCCAGTCACCTAAGCAACATGAATGTTTGGACTCTGACTTCTCAGAAACCTGTGAGTTACCCAGTTTCCAACTTCCTGGAGTCTATTAGCTGAGAAGGTGGAAGTCAAGACATGACCCTGAGCGACTTGCAGCCATGCTGGTGATTATGTACATTTTATCAAAGGTAAGCTGCACAGCAATAGAATGGAATGTCTTCCAGTTCCTGTATGATTCAGTTTGAATTCATAGTCTGATGGCTAATCTTGTGCTCACGTGTTTTCAGTCCATGGGATCCAATAGATGGTAAGGAAGTTATCTAAAAAAACTTCCTCATGACTGCTTTAGATAATATATTTCCATTGAGAAATTGATCTGCATGTTGGAAGGTGGATGACCAGCTAATAAAAGCATTGCCTTTGATGGTAACTTAGTTTCGGGGGCCAGGAAACCCAGGGGTATGGTTACATAGCCAACCAAAGGTCCATCCATGACTGCATTGTGTTTGACCCTCCAAATCCCTTCTCAGTTCTTAACAAGGATTGAGTATAGTCAGGCCTGTATCCCTAGAATCTCTGACAGATTCAGCAAGTGAATACTTCCCTGTGCACCCTATTTTCAAGGGCAGAAATACCATCTCTCTCTGTCACTCTGATTTTCTTCAAAACAAAGAAACTGCTTTACTACGACTTTACTTTCCTACTTTGAACTGCTATCATGCCTGCCATAGGCGGATCCAGAAGAACTGCATCACGCCACTGAAGATGCCATCCATCGCCTGGCTAGATGACTATGCACATGCTAAACAAATAAATACTCTGCAGAGAGGAATCTCAGCTATCCTTCTGGATTGCAGATGACACAGCTGTAGGGGCCTAGCTGTAGGTTTCAAAGCTTTAGAAAATAATTGCAATAGCTCACTATGAGTTCATGGCTAGTGTGTGTGCGCGCATGTGCATGCATCACTGGCCATTGTGGAATGAAATGTTAGCACTAACTCAGTCTGTGATCATATTGCCTTGTAGTGACAAGTCTATAAAGAGGATATATTGCTATAAGGCTTGATAGGGAACAGCAATCCCCCATTCGCTCAAGTAGCAGAGCTCTGTGTTTTTAGAACAGGGGCTCCTAAGTTCCATGTTTCATGTGGTGTGTGTGTGCTTTAAATGCAGCTACAGATTTATTATTCTGTTTCTTACTTATTCTTTTTTAATCATCAGAAATCATGGCTACTCTATGATTTTGTGCTGATTTTCCAGGAGCTCCTGTACATCACAGGCAACTAATTACCACAACTAAGAAGAGATAAATAAACAACCAAACCCCTATCACTATGTTTTATGACTCTCCTGCATTTTACTTTATCAATATTTTACTATTATCACTATTACTCTATAAAGGACATTTACCAAAGGAGACAGAAAGAACTGTAAATGGTTTTAGAATAGTCAGTCAGACTGGGATTAAGCTAGATCATTGCTTCAGCAGTGTGCAAAAAACTAGGCACAACAAGGCATATTTAACATAATTCTATAATCACTGAGAGATGATTTACAGCAATCTAATTTCCTACAGCAGGTTCTGACTGCTATTGAAGAGAAACAGTGATTTCCAAATGAAAGCAGCAGAAGCTAGATAATATGGTATTTAAGGATCTTTTAACTTCTGAATAACCCAGTCATTTCTCTTTGGGACTTTGGAATAAAGAGCTTAATTTATATTTTTTATAAATATAAATGCTCCTGTGTGTTCAGTTTAGCCTCAGCTATTATGGAAGCCATTAGTTAATAAGTTTCATTCTACTGTCAATTGACTTCCTTGGCAATTTGCACAGATTTACAACCAAGCTGCGTGCTTTATACTTTTAAAATGATTTACATAGGCTGTAACAGCATTCCTAGATATTTCCCCAAAGAGACATCATACATAACTGTGAACTGCAGGAACAAGTAATAAAACTATTAATCCCCCTAACATCTGTACATTATTTACTATATAAAAGCAGCAATATCCATCATGCAATTCAGTGCTGACAAATGCAAAGTTATACATAGCAGAAGGAATAATTTTGACTACTCCAGCCATGGCTTGGGTTCTAAATTCACTGGAACCACTAAAGAAAAAGCCTTAAGAATCATTACAGTCAGCTCAATGAAAACATTTGCTTAGTGACAGACCGTTGTCAAAAATAAATAAATAAAGCAAAAAAAATATTTGGGTATGTAAACAGTGAGATAGAAAACAGTACTAAAAATTATGCATTACATATAAATCAATAGTCTGCTCTCACCTAGAATACTGTATTAAATTCTGGTTGCCCCATCCCACAAAGAGATGTAGCAGAAAGAGGGGTGCTCCAGAGACAGACAACAACAATGCTGAGTAAGAATTAACATAATGCAGTAGGGACATGGGAAAACTTCCGTATGAGTAGAGAATGAACTAGTAGAGATCAGGACTGTTTAGTTTAGAGAGAGTAGACATATAAGTAGGGACATGATAAGGATATTAAATAATAAACGGTACAGAGGAGGTAAATTGGGCATTCCCATTTACCCTCGCTCATAATACCAGAACAAGGGAACATTCAATATAACTGAAAAGCACAAGATTTAAAACTGTTGAAAAGAAATACTTGTTTCAAACACACAGTGAGAAATTAATCTTCATCACAAGATATCAAGACTAAGATTCACAAATTTTTTTAAATGGTTAGATATTTATAAGCATTACGTGTACATCAGTAGTCCCCAAATGTTTTCTGTTGCACCCCCCCTCCACCCGTAATGGAACCTGTCCGCACTCCACGGGGATCCATGGTTGGAGTCTGGGGCTGGGAGCCACAGTTGGGGCTGGGGACTGCAGTCTGAGCTGCCGCTGGGGCCGGGGTGGAGCTGGGGACAGAGCCGGGCTTGGTGGCGCTCCCTTCCTGCCCCTATGGGGGCTAGCCTGGACCCCACTACACTCCCCCCAAATGTTCTTCCGTGCCCCTCTAGGGGGGCATGCCCCACAGTTTGGGAACCACTGGTATACATCTACAGCTTTATTAGATAGGATAAAATATTTGAGATATACACATAATCATGCTTCATTTCATAGACTATCGATTAACTGATAGTAAGAAACTTCTCTTAAGGGCAAATAATTCTAAAATTGTCCTTTACAGGGTTTCTTTCACTCTCCCCTAAAACACCTGGTAGTGGCCACTATTGGAGACCACTGCTCTGAACTGTTGTTGCAATTCCTGTGTTCTTTGCCTCCCCTGAATACTATGTTTGAATTAGAATACAACACACTGAATAGTGCTCCTGTACAGTATCCTAGTATTCACAGCGTTTGTTACCTGGGTGGACAATCCTTTTCATTGCATTTCTTTTGTCGTCCGTTTGGCTGCATTTCTGGGTCACAGAAGGAGTTTTTGATCACACTTCCCCCCCTTTTCACACATTGGGCTGTTTGTCGCTGAACACCTGTGAGAATAATAATTTCTCCATGCATATTAAATCCTTACACCTTTGTGTTTAATTCCAAATGGACACTGATCAGGTTGGCGTACCAGGCCCACCCCACTTCGTGACAGAGTCTGTGGTTTTCAAAACAAAAAGGAAATGGCAGTAGTGGTTGTTTGAAAAGCAACACTTGTGCTGTACTAGTTTTGTTTTCAAAAGGAGAGGACTATTACCTCCTAATTTAATATTCTTGGTCACATTAGAAGCATAAAAAGCATATAGCAGCACTTGAAGTATCTTAGCCAATACACAACAGGCCACATCTCAGAAAGTTGGAAAAAATATTTCCATCCTTTTTTAAAAAAAAAGGAGATACAGCTAAAACAGATACCAAAGGCTCAAATGCCCACTGGGAAGATAAACACGGTCATTGCTTTGATTGTGTGCTCTGCATTTGTTACTTGCACTCCATTCCTCTGTACTGGAATAAAGGATTGTTAGGATATAGATATTCAGGCCTGTCTGTAAAGGCCTATACTCTAAGAATGTAGGTGTATTCTTATCACTTGGCTAGTTATAGAGGTATAAAAGAAAGAATCAAAATCACTGTCTGCCAGTGTAAGGTTTTCTCTTATTGTGACAGTCTGAGGCCCTGTTCTTAGGCTAAGGCCTTTGGCTGAGCAACAGAGGCAGCCATAAACTGGGAAGCGACCAGTCGCATCCTCACATTCCAAACTAGTCACATTGAAATAAGGTGCTATTGGGCTGTTAGGAATACACTCCTATCCTGATAGTGCCTTTCACCTCCAGAGAAAGGGATGTGCCTAGAAAATGTAAAAGGAAACTTAGTTTGATAGCATCCTGTCTGGCAAGAACTCACTTATCAATAGCTGGGATGTGAAATTCTCACTTCTGTATTGTTTTGTCATTATAGTTCCCATTTTGCTATTTGGCTGTATAATCTCTGTCTGGTTTTGTGATTGTACCTGTCTGCTGTATAATTAATTTTGCTGGGTGTAAACTAATTAAGGTGGTGGGATATAATTGGTTACATAATCATGTTACAATATGTTAGGATTGGTTAGCTGAATTTCAGGAAAATGATTGGTTAAGGTATAGCAAAGCAGAACTCAAGTTTGACTGCAGACTATATAGTAAATCAGGAAGTGGGTGGGTGTGGGGGGGAAATGGGAACAGGGAATGGGGGTGGGGAAATTGGAATCATGTTTGGCTAAGGGCAGGAATGGGAACAGGGATACAGGTGTAAGGCTCTGTGGTGTCAGAGCTGGGAAGGGGGACACTAAGGAAGGAAACTGGAATCATGCTTGCTGGAAGTTCACACCAATAAACATTGAATTGTTTGCACCTTTGGACTTCGGGTATTGTTACCAGGGAAGTAAGTGGGTAAAGGAATAAGCCCCCTAACAAGGATGAACAAACACAAGATACCCTCTCTCCATTGACCCACAGAGGAAATGCAGTGTTATTGTAGCGGTGTCAGTCCTAGGATAGCAGAGAAATACTGGATTAATGGCTTATTACAACAAGCTATAACCCACTAACAACTCCCTCTCAGCTGCTTCCCCACCACTTCCTTTCACCCCCTGTGGGCATGTCTACACTACATTACTACAGGGGTTCATGTTCATCCCCTCCTTCTGTCGCTGATGCGCATCCTCACCAGGAGCACTTGCACTCACTTAAGAGGGGTAGTGTGGGGGCTGAAAGCCCAAGTTTCTCAGCTTGGTGCTGAGATCCCAGCTGCAGCCAGGCTGCCGACTGGGCTCTCAGCTCCACACTCTGCATGGAGCTTGCTCCATGGGGAGTGAGAACCTGGGTAGCAGCCAGGCTCCAGCTGGGAGCTCCATGCGGAGCAGGGAGCTGAGAGCCTGGGCTGAAGCCAGGTTCCAGCTGGGAGCTCAGAGGGGAGCCCACAGCCCAGGCCCTCAGTGCTGGGTAGTGAGGCTCCAGCTGTCAGTACTACTGGGACTCACAGCTGGAATACCCTTCCCCCCACTTTCAAAAAAGAGATCCTATCAGCAGTGAAATCGTCAGCAGTGCTGACAGCCAACAGGCGATGTAAGAAATGCAGTGTCTATACAGACACTGCGTCATCTGACCTTCATCCACTTAAGCCTCATGCATCTTGTCCAGGTGGATTTATTAGGTCGACATAGCGGATGAGTTACAGTGGCAGCAGGAATACTGTAGAGTGTACGCCTACTTACTTTGATGTAAGGTGCCTTACGTCAACTTCACTTTGTAGTGTAGACATGCCTTATGACTGGAGGGCTCTGAATGGGCCACTTCACCTTGAATGGACCCTTGGAATGTGTGTTAACTACTTATGCTAAACAATCTGTTCCACCTTGTATTTAGCTGTGACACTGCATACTTTTCCCAGACCTGAAGAAAAACTCTGTGAAAGCTTGTTTCTTTCACCAACAGAAGTTGGTCCAATACAAGAAATTACCTCACCCACCTTTCCCCCCAGAGGAAATGAAAGTTTTGTGGCATGGGGATGAACTGCATAGACCCACTGGTATAAATGCCTACATGGGGATTAGAGAGATAAGGCGAGTGAGGTAATTATCTTTCACTGGACCAACTTCTGTTGGTCAGAGAGAGAAGCATTCAAGCTACACAGAGCTCTTCCTCAGGTTCAGGAAAGGAACTGAGGGCAGGCCTACATTTAAATGCTGCAGTGGCTGCTACCTATGCCTCTGGGAGGGCTTCTCCCATCAGTGCAGGTACTCCACCTCCGTGAGAGGCAATAGCTATGCTGAAGAGAGAAGCCCTCCTGTTGACACAGAGCTGTCTACACCAGGGGTTAGGTTGGTATAACTACGTCACTCAGGGCTGAGTAATGTAATTATATCAGTTTAAGTTTCAAGTGCAGACCTGGCCTAAGGTTGCCACACTGGAATACCAGGTTGAACAGATAGTTTAGCATAAGCAGTTAGCATGCATTTTAAAAGCGACCCGTTAACACCCCTAAAGTCATAGAACGAGAAGGAGTTAGTGGGCTACAGATTGTTGTAATAAGCCATAAATCTAGTGTCTTTATTAAGACCATGATTTTTAGTGTCTAGCAAAGTTATGAATTTAAGCTTCTAGGCTCATCTTTTGAAAGTGTTGAGCAGGTTTACTTTGAGGATCATAGAATCATAGAATATCAGGGTTGGAAGGGACCTCAGGAGGTAATCTAATCCAACTCCCTGCTCAAAGCAGGACCAATCCCCAACTAAATCATCCCAGCCAGGGCTTTATCAAGCCTGACCTTAAAAACTTCTAAGGAAGGAGATTCCACCACCTCCCTAGTGAACCCATTCCAGTGTTTCATCACCATTCTAGTGAAAAAGTTTTTCCTAATATCCAACCTAAACCTCCCCCACTGCAACTTGAGACCATTAGTCCTTGTTCTGTCATCAGCTACCACTGAGAACAGTCTAGAGCCATCCTCTTTGGAACCCCCTTTCAGGTAGTTGAAAGCAGCTATCAAATCCCCCCTCATTCTTCTCTTCCGCAGACTAAACAATCCCAGTTCCCTCAGCGTCTCCTCATAACTCATGTGTTCCAGACCCCTAATCATTTTCGTTGCCCTTCACTGAACTCTTTCCAATTTTTCTACATCCTTCTTGTAGTGTGGAGCCCAAAACTGGACACAGTACTCCAGATGAGGCCTCACCAATGTCCAATAGAGGGGAACGATCACGTCCTTCGATCTGCTGGCAATGCCCCTACATATACATCCCAAAATGCCATTGGCCTTCTTGGCAACAAGGGCACACTGTTGACTCATATCCAGCTTCTTGTCCACTGTAACCCCTACGTCCTTTTCTGCAGAACTGCTGCCGAGCCATTCGGTCCCTAGTCTGTAGTGGTGCATGGGATTCTTCCGTTCTAAGTGCAGGACTCTGCACTTGTCCTTGTTGAACCTCATCAGATTTCTTTTGGCCCAATCCTCTAATTCGTCTAGGGCCCTCTGTATCCTATCCCTACCCTCCAGCGTATCTACCTCTCCTCCCAGTTTAGTGTCATGAGGATGAGGACTGATAGGTCTGATATAGAGTGATCGCTTTGTGTTCACCCACAGGTGATATGGTGTTTTTGTCTTTTTTCATTTTCATGTGTGAAAGACCGTACTGATTGTCTGGTTTCACCCACATAGTTGTTACTGGGGCTTTTAGTGCACTGGATGAGGTACATCACATGTTGTGATAGGCACATATAGGACCCATGGATCTTGAAAGGTTAGTAGTGGGGGGTGTTGATCATGGTAGAAGTGGAGATATGTCTGCAGGTTTTGCATGTGTTGATGTGGCAGGGTCGAGTGCCACTTTGAATTGGTGTGTCCTGGTTTGTGGGGAGCTTGCTTCTGATGATGAGCTTGGAGAGATTGGGGGGTTGCTTGAAGGCCAGAAGAGGGTGTTCAGGAAAGATTTCTTTCAGGATGGAGTCCCCATCGAGTATGAGTTGTAGCTGTTTGACGATACCCCATCTGGGTTCCAGTGTGGGGTGGTAGGTGACAACTATTCATGTGAAGTCACAGGGGGTTTTATTTCTAAAAGCAGATTCTCTTACGGTATTTGGATGGCCCATTCCATGATGTGATCTACTTCTCCGGTGGAGTGTCCCTGTTTAGTGACGGTAGTTTTGAGTGTGTTAAGGTGTATATCCCAGATTTTCTCCTCGGTGTATATTCTGCAATATCTGAGTGCCTGGCTGTAGATAACAGATTTCTTGGTGTGTTTGCGTGGTTACTGGATCTATGAAGGTCGGTGTTGTGATCCATGGGGTTCTTGTATATAGTTGTCCGGAGGTTTCATTGTTGAAGCCGATGGTCGTTTCCATGAAGTTGATGCTAGCGTGGGAGTGTTCCAGACAGAGTTTTATGGACAGATATTGGTTGTTCAAGTTGTGGTGGAAATCTATGAGGAAGATTAAGTCATCTGTCCAGAGGATGAAAATATCATACATGTATCTCAGGTATATCATTGGTTACGCATTTGTCCAGAAAT